CCTGAGAGCCACAGGGTCAGAAAAAAAATTGTTCTGCCACTGCCAATATTTGAACCCAGAACACTAGTTTAGCAGATGAGTGTGCTAATTCCCACACCATCATTCTCCACCTGATTCTGGCATTAATCTCTCAATACAGGACAGGCCCTCAACCAAACTATACCAAACCTGTCTCCATGGTGAAGTGGTCAAACCGCTTACCTTGTGTTATTCAGGTCACGAGTGCAGTTTTTAATGGAGATCCATGGGGGATCATCACTGGAACTACAGAGTTCGTGCTTTATGTGAGCCCTCAGCAAGCAGCTAGTCATTGTGCAAACAGAGTCCAAGCCACAGTGCACAGCCATTCAACCAAGTTTATGCAGAGGTCAAAATGTTGGAAAATGGGGTTCGTCACGGGCCAGAAGCCCAAGTCCACAGCACAGAAAGACCATTAATACAAAACAATTACCAGGTGATAGCGGGCTTGAGCCTCAGCATAGACAGATCATTAAAAAACTACAATTGGCAACAATCCATGTGCCAGTTTTTAGGCCTCTATGGGCCAGACGTAGCCAGCTGAATACCCCTACTCTAGACTAACACCAAACTGTTCTATCTTTTGTCATTTCTTGCAGCTACTTTCTTGTCCTGCTCAAATTATTATGGATACACCTAATGCAATAAAGTCGATCTTCTTGACTTCAACACCAAACTGTTCTATCTTTTGTCATTTCTTGCAGCTATTTTCTTGTCCTGTTTAAATTATTATGGATACACCTTATGCAATAAAGTCGATCTTCTTGACTTCAACACCAAACTGTTCTATCTTTTGTCATTTCTTGCAGCTATTTTCTTGTCCTGCTCAAATTATTATGGATACACCTTATGCAATAAAGTCGATCTTCTTGACTTCAACACCAAACTGTTCAATCTTTTGTCATTTCTTGCAGCTACTTTCTTGTCCTGCTCATATTATTATGGATACAACTTATGCAATAAAGTCGATCTTCTTGACTTTAACACCAAACTGTTCTATCTTTTATCATCTCTTGCAGCTCCTTCCATAGCATTCATTTTATCATTCAATGCTCTAAGCCTCTAACTACCTTGCCCAAATTTTCTGGGTACAGAAAAACAAAACGGAATCTCCATCAGAACCAAAAGGGAAGAGCCAGACATGTTCAGAAAGGACACCAGCACATACAATGTGGACAATAAGCTACATTTATGAGGCACAACAAACCATTTAAGCCACTGAATTTGGCACAAACAAAACCAGACTATAATTATAACCGAAGCCATCTTCAGCAGGGTTGAACCAGGCCAATTTGTTTTTCTTCAAATCAACAAGTGAGTGGTTTTAAGTCACCATTCTTCCCCTGCAAGTTCCATTAAAAAAATATTATAGTGATAATATTATCAGGTTGTCTCAATGCCCTATCCAGTGTTAATATCTTTTCCTCACATCTTGATTCACTGCAAATACTTAAGCTCTCTCCTAAAGCTCATTATTCTGCATTATCAATCAATTCCAATTCTTTGCAGGCACTAGGTAATGGGGAGGCGTTTGTGGCTTAGGTGTTGCAAGTCCGACTCATAACTCAAACGTACAGCGATCGAAACCCGCTGCTGGCTGTGTGGATTTGTATCATGGTATAGTGGGCTTCGCAGGTCGACCCAACCTAAAATGAGTACCAGGATATATTAAGTACCAGGATATATGTCTTGGGGAAGTAAAGACGACCGGCATAATGCTGACCACATTACCCACCTAGTGCCGATTGGTCTGCAAAGAATGTGGGTGCTCTTCCTATATGCCCGATTTGCCTTAACACGTGAAAAGAGATCTTGACTTTACTTTAACTTTACCAGGTAATGAATTTTGTTAATTAATTATTAGTTCACATGATCAACTTCAGTCAATTCTTCTTCTTCTTTACTTCCCCCTTTGACTGCTTGTAGTATCGAGTCAGTCAATTACAAGTTGCAAAATCCCACTTTTGCTTTACCAACAAAAGAAAACCAATATGACTTTTAAAAAAAGAACAAAATTAAGGCATATTCAAGAAGCAGATATATTTATAACCAAATGTGTTTTAAACTGTACACCCATATTTATACAGACCATCGGCAGAGGTGGGTAATGTGATCAGCATTACACTGAAATCTTTACTTCCCCAGGACAATCCTGAAACATTTTAAATGTCGATTAGCGACGCCCTATACCATGATAAAATCCACTCAATAAGAAAGAATGATAATATTGAAATTTATAATGAGAGACTGAAATAAAATGAGAAACATGAGTATCATAATGAGAAAGATAAGTATCATAGGTAAAGGACTCCATGTCTTAAGATATAATGGGCATATGGTGCTTGTACTAAATTCTAATGGACAAAATAAATCTTCCCCTCCTTTACGTTTACAAGCTGTAAAACTGGGCAGAAAGTTCTGGTTGTTCGTCCATTTCTGGACTTTAGACATGTTCCAGAGCTTGAGTTTTGAATGTTTATCCGTTTTACAGATACGGTTCATTTGTAGGCAGACTTTTGCAGCCAGTGAATGTTGAGAAGAAGAAGAATTCTCAATACTAAAATATGTAAGGAGGATGTATATGAAACTTGTTCCAACGGCTTTATTACGAAAGCATGAAAGAAACCATCAACAATTGTGGCAGAATAAAACAAAGCATACATTTTCAATCAAGTACATACAATGGGTTGCTTGCTGTAAAAAGAAAGACATCAGGTAAGCATATCTGAGAAAGATATGTATCATTGTGAGAACATAAGTGTTTACCACATATTATGAGTAAGAAACATATCATATTGCAGCTTCTTAAGCCATGACCGCCCCAACTGATATACAGTAAAATTAATTTAACACCTTTTAGATATCATCAAAGAGCATATTGAATACATGCTGGTAAGTCAAAAACATGGTGAGGTCATGAATGAGACAAGATGAGTATTGTGATAAGAAATTTGGAGGTAAAAAGAGGCAAGAGGTGATCAAGCGAAAAGGCATACTAAGACATATGGAAAGAGGACCATATTTTTTCAGACCTGATCGGCACTAGGTGGGTAATGAGACTATCAGAAAAGTTATAAAAGCAGTCAGTGGCATCATAATTAGTTCTGAAGAAGAACTGAAAACCAAAAAAGAACTGGTGTTACCAGCTGCTACAGGCTAGGTCGATCTGCGACGCCCCTGTCCACTAATGGACCACTCACTGATGGGATTAACTACTAGCTGTCTATGATTAGTTCACTTCATTACCAAGACAACCCAGTTCTTCATTCTTCTTCAACGATCTTCGCTCATGCACTTAATCCAGAAGGGCCATAAACTGGAAAGTCAGTTTGAGGTCTCTCAGATCTTTCCAAGGCTTAGTTGACAAGAATTATTGGGTGTGGCCACATGTTTCATAGCTCCATCAGGAGAGACAGTCTTACAAGACATGTTCTGGCTGAGGCCCAGAGAGTCTTACAAGACATGTTCTGGCTGGGGCCTAGTGTGCTCTAGCTGGGGCCTAAACAGTCTTTCAGACATGTTTCTGGGGCCTAGACGATCTTCACTCATGCTACTTAGTCTTACAAGGCCATGTTCTGGGGGGGCCTAGACAGTTTACAAGACGTGTTTTCTCCTAGCGTCCCAAGGCTGGAGCCTAGACAAGACTTATTGCTGGTGCCTGGCAGTCTTACAAGACGTGTTCTGGCTGGGGCAGGAGACAGTCTTACAAGACGTGTTCTGGCTGGAGCCTAGACAGTCTTACAAGACGTGTTCTGGCTGGGGCCTAGACAGTCTTACAAGACGTGTTCTGGCTGGGGCCTAGCGTGCTCTGGCTGGGGCCTAGACAGTCTTACAAGACGTGTTCTGGCTGGGGCCTAGACAGTCTTACAAGACGTGTTCTGGCTGGGGCCTAGACAGTTTTACAAGACGTGTTCTGGCTGGGGCCTAGCGTGCTCTGGCTGGGGCCTAGACAGTCTTACAAGACGTGTTCTGGCTGGGGCCTAGACAGTCTTACAAGACGTGTTCTGGCTGGGGCCTAGACAGTCTTACAAGATGTGTTCTGGCTGGGGCCTAGACAGTCTTACAAGACATGTTCTGGCTGGGGCCTAGACAGTCTTACAAGATGTGTTCTGGCTGGGGCCTAGACAGTTTTTCAAGACGTGTTCTGGCTGGGAACTAGACAGTCTTACAAGACGTGTTCTGGCTGGGGCCTAGACAGTCTTACAAGACGTGTTCTGGCTGGGGACTAGACAGTCTTACAAGACGTGTTCTGGCTGGGGACTAGACAGTCTCACAAGACATGTTCTGGCTTTGGCCTAGACAGTCTCACAAGACATGTTCTGGCTTTGGCCTAGACAGTCTCACAAGACATGTTCTGGCTTTGGCCTAGACAGTCTCACACGCCATGTTCTGGCTTTGGCCTAGACAGTCTCACAAGATATGTTCTGGCTTTGGCCAGACAGTCTCAGAAGACATGTTCTGGCTGCGCCTGTTGGGTCTGAGTTAGTCCAGAGCTGTGACGAGATTATCTCCACTGACTAAGAAGCTGGCAGGAACGACAAACTTTAGCTGTGGTAGGGTAATTTTCCTTCCTCCTCCTCTTCCTCTTCTCCTTTTTCTTCAGCTATATCTCCTATTCTTTTGTTTTCACCTTCTTCCTCTGCTTCTCTTTGTTAGCTGTTATTTAAGGAGTTGAGCTGAGTTGAGTCAAGAATTGACATCACAACATTCAAGGCATTCCCATGCATGTTCCGTCCTCATCTTCAGCAGCCAGCGCACAGTTCCAATACTGTTGGTACCTGTCACAATCTGATTATATGTCCGTCTTGCCTTTTCTCTGATAGGTGTTATTTAAATAACATTTAATATTTTCATGAATAATATTTTAAAAAAAAAAAAAATAGCTGTTATTTAACAAACTGATAAGCAAATAACACCAACTGCCAATTCATGTGTAATAATAATAATAATAATAACAACAGAGAACTTATGCAAGCACTTACGAAGCTTCAGGTCAATCTCTGGGAAGTCGTCAAAGTTGGACGTGTCATCTATGCCTTTAATGTCGACAGGAATGACGGCCGGCCGCTCTCTGTGTAAGTAATATACACAAACAAAATGGTCTCAAATTTAGGAATGTACCTGAACTAAGAATGCTTTCAGTTGTTCTTTTCAAAAGTAAAATGCCCTTTTTACACCAGTGCTGTATCGGTCATATGTTCTTCTTCTTCTTCACTTCCTCTTTTACCGCTGTGGGTGTCGAGGGAGATATAAGGTTCTGTTTCTAGCTCTTCTAGCTGCCTTGACCATAGGCACATCGTGCTGTTGTATCGGTCGCATGTTGCTAGACTTATATTTTTATAGGCAATCAGCGCTCGGTGGGTGATGTGATCAACACCACGCCAGCCACCTTTACTTCCCACGATATTATCTGGTGCTCATTTTACGCTGGGTCGATCTAGCAGCCAGGGCAAACTTTGAAAACAAAAAGTCTGATGTAATGTGGGTTCAAACCTAAGACCTTTGGGCTAGCATGGAAATTTAGCCATTAAACCACTGCTGCTTTCTTCTGTTTGGGTCTTTAATAAAAATTAAATACTCATTTAAACTAAATCCCACTAAGTATTTTTGCTTTATAACAGTTAGCAGAAGTATACTGAGAAGAGTGTGTTAACTTTTAAAACTGCAAATCAAGATAATATAGACTTATTAGCATACATACATTATGTTCTTCTTCGTTCACCGGCTGTAAATGCAGAGGAAAGTTCGATTGTTTGCCCACTTCTGGACTGCAGTCTTGTTCCAGAACCAGAGTGTTGTGTGTGCATTGGTTTGACAGATCTGACTAATTTGTTTGCAGACTATTGGTTCCTTGCCTCTCAGGCAGATGCACCCCGACTTCGAAGGAAGCTCCCAATTAGTCGACTCTTACGAAATGCTTTTGGGTTGGCAGTGGGTCTAATCTTGTTTTTCTCTAATAGGGCCCCGGAACCCACAGGGGTTTTTAACAACATCATCATCTTGCGCCGTGTACTTTATGTGAATGCTAATTAAGTTTATGTGGCCTGTCACAAGTCGTTATTGTTGGCTCTTCGAGACAGTCAAAGTTGTGTTTGCTGCTTTTGGATCAAGTGGGCCCAGGTGTTAAAACACACAGGACTTCAAGTATTAGCAGCACATCCAACAAAGGGAGATCCAGCAATATATCAGCGTTGGTACCCTAGACCTACATACATGGTTGTTTTTCAGATACTCATAAGTATCAGTAAAGAAAAATGAACATTACATGTATCAATCTAAATAAGTGCTTTTATTATTCTGTCCACAGCATTTCAACTTTTATTCCAAAAAGGCATTTCCTGAATGCAGAAATTAGAAAATGCTCAAAAATATATTTATTTTACTACTGTAAGTTAAAAGATGTTCAGCCCACAGGTATTTGCTGAACAAGATTTTCACAAATCATCATCATCATCATAATGTCATGGTGCTATATGTCACAAATCATCATAATGTCATGGTGCCAAATGTCACAAATCCTCATAATGTCATGGTGCTATATGTCACAAAGGGCTTGCAGTCTAGTCCTCCACTGAGTTCTATCCTGTGCAATCTTTCCTTCTGCTTATTCTTCTTCACATTCACCAGCTGTAAACTCTGACAGAAAGTTCTGTCTACCTCTGGACTTTCATCTTGTTTCTGAACCTGAGTGTTTCGTGCCCATCTCCTTTGGGAGTAAGGGGATTGGGTGGGGGGTCTGTTTAAATATTTTTTTAAAAACAAATGTGACTTATCTTTTAGTTTCTTTCTTCTCAGGCAGACACACTTCACTGGCGAAAGGAAGCTTCAAATGAGTGACTCTTACGACATGTTTGTCGATGGGTTGTGGCTCTATTCTTAGTTTTCCCGCACAATGGGGGACCACAGAATCCAGATAGGAAACACAGTCCATGCAATATTATAGATGATATCCAATGTTCTTTATTATTATCCTACCCCAGATGACATCACAGGACAGTCCAACATTTTAGAGGGTGATAAGACTGAGTTTCCCAGCTTTCTGATGCTTTTAACCACCTTAAAACATCTAAAACTGGCCCTAACCTCAACCCACCTACATCCCACAAGAGACTGCAGCCTAGGTCCCACAATTGCATGCAGCCTAGGTCCCGGTCCAACAGCTGCATGCAGCCTAGGTCCCACAACTGCATGCAGCCTATCTACCACCCCCTGAAATATTAGACTATCCCGTGACCTGAGGATTTCCCGTTTGGGGTAGGATATTAATAAAGCATCAAATTCAGTCCAGCACTGTGGCTTCCCTAGCAACATTATTTTAGAGGTTCTCATGGACATATGTTCACAACAATTCTTTTGGACATATGTTCACAACAATTCTCTTGGATATATGTTCACAACAATTCTCTTGGACATATGTTCACAACAATTCTCGTGGACATATGTTCACAACAATTCTCTTGGACATATGTTCACAACAATTCTCTTGGACATATGTTCACAACAATTCTCTTGGACATAAGCTCACAACAATTCTCTTAGACATATGTTCACAACAATATTCTTGGACATATGTTCACAACAATTCTCTTGGACATATGTTCACAACAATTCTCTTGGACATATGTTCACAACAATTCTCGTGGACATATGTTCACAACAATTCTCTTGGACATATGTTCACAACAATTCTCTTGGACATATGTTCACAACAATTCTCTTGGACATAAGCTCACAACAATTCTCTTAGACATATGTTCACAACAATATTCTTGGACATATGTTCACAACAATTCTCTTGGACATATGTTCACAAAAATTCTCTTGGACATATGTTCACAAAAAAATTCTCTTGGACATAAGCTCACAACAATTCTCTTAGACATATGTTCACAACAATTCTCTTGGACATAAGCTCACAACAATTCTCTTGGACATATGTTCACAACAATTCTCTTGGACATAAGCTCACAACAATTCTCTTGGACATATGTTCACAACAATTCTCTTGGACATAAGCTCACAACAATTCTCTTAGACATATGTTCACAACAATTCTCTTGGACATAAGCTCACAACAATTCTCTTAGACATATGTTCACAACAATTCTCTTGGACATATGTTCACAAAAATTCTCTTGGACATATGTTCACAAAAATTCTCTTGGACAAATGTTCACAACAATTCTCTTAGACATATGTTCACACAAAAATTTCATTATAACACTCTAATAGTTGAACAGTAATTCAACCTCACAAGGTACATGTTCAACCCTTGTCCGACTCAAGCCTCTCACCTACCTTATATGCTCCCAATCAAGACCCCTAAAGAAAGGATGGGTTGTGATCTCCTCTACACAATTGGAGCCGATTCTAGTATCTGGATTACAGCAAAACCTGTGGATATATCCACAATCATCTGTCAATATAACAAAGTAGCATGACTGTTGGTATAGATATAAAATAAATAGTGCTGGGGGACTTTACAAACTGTATCACTGTATCCCTGAATCACTGTATCATTGCATCACTATCACTTTTTTAACTGAATCACTGTATCATTGTTTCATTGTATCACTATCACTGTATCACTGAATCACTGTATCATTGTTTCACTGTATCATTTTAGCAACGCAGAAACTAAACAACATAAAGCACCTATGACACAGCACCTGCAAGTGAGTTTAAGTAAACATACTGAGATCATGCATCCTTCCCGTGGCAACTTTTGGATGTGAATCACAGACCCCTACTCAATCAATGAAGATATAAATCAGAGCTTCCGAAATGTAATGCTGTAGAAAAATTATCAGAATACCACGGACCAAAAGGAACAAGAACGACGACATCCTATATGATCTGAGCATCAAGGAGAATTGGCTCATAAACAGCATCTTGTCCTGAAAGCTGAAGGTGTTTGGCCATGCTAAACATCATTGTGGCCTGGACAGAACGACAATGAAGGGTACAGTTTCCGGAAAACAAGGCAGAGGTAGACCTCCCTGAAAATGGATATACAGAAGATGCATAAGCTATGAAAGCATATAGGGTTGCAGTTGGCAACAAAAATGAAAATTTATGATTTGCTGTGGCGAGAGCTTCGTTCTGTGAAGAACCCACTGACTGGTGATGATCACCGTTATTATTACAAGTGAAAGGAAAGGGCCCTTTTCAACACCTTCAGAAGTATCAGGCATATATATTTTATAGCCCAATGGGCACTTGGTGGGTGATGTGGTCAACACTGCACCTGCCGCCTTTACTTCTCAGGACTTCTACCTGGGACCTACTAAAGGCTGGGTCGACCTGGAAGTCAAGATCATTTTTACTGTTATTATAATAAATAAAGTTATAAACAAAATTGTGTCCCACAAAAACTGTCTTCCTTGTATTCGACCGAGCAATTTCACTGACACAACCACAGAGAGTACAGTAGCATCGTCGTAAGTTTATTACAATGTCACAATGGTACTCGCCTAAAAAAATATTTTTGATTATTTTTTCCCCCTAAAAATATATCAAAACAGAAAAATGTTGGTTGTACATTAATCGTGCCCACCATGTCTAAACACTGCAGTTGGGAGACACCAGTGGACAAGGAGAAACTAGTGTACTAGGAGAAACTAGTGTACTAGGAGAAACTAGTGTACTGGGAGAAACTAGTGTACTGGAAGAAACCAGCATATTGGGAGAAACTAGTGTACTGGGAAAAACTAGTGTACTGGGAGAAACCAGCATACTGGGGGAAACTAGTGTACTGGGAAAAACTAGTGTACTGGGAGAAACCAGCATACTGGGAAAAACTAGTGTACTGGGAGAAACCAGCATACTGGGAAAAACTAGTGTACTGGGAGAAACCAGCATACTGGGAGAAACTAGTGTACTGGGAAAAACTAGTGTACTGGGAGAAACCAGCATACTGGGGGAAACTAGTGTACTGGGAGAAACCAGCATACTGGGGGAAACTAGTGTACTGGGAGAAACCAGCATACTGGGAAAAACTAGTGTACTGGGAGAAACCAGCATACTGGGGGAAACTAGTGTACTGGGAGAAACCAGCATACTGGGAAAAACTAGTGTACTGGGAGAAACCAGCATATTGGGAGAAACTAGTGTACTGGGAGAAACTAGTGTACTGGGAGAAACCAGCATACTGTGAAAAACCAGCATACCGGGAGAAACCAGTGTACTGGGTGACACCATTGTACTGGAAGAAAAAGGTGTACTCGGAGACACCACTGTACTGGAAGAAAGGTGAACTGGAAAAATACAGTGTACTGGGAGACACCATTGTACAGGGAGAAACTAGTGTACTGGGAGAAACTAGTGTACTGGAGAAACCAGTGTACTAGGACACACTAATGTAATGGTAGACATTAGAGAAGTCTTTTTCTTCTTCTTCTTTATCTTCGCGTTCACCAGCTGTAAACTCCAGTGGAAAGTTCTGGTTGTTCATCCACTTCTTGACTGTTCTAGAAACTGAGTGTAGCGAGAACATCCGTTTCATAGGTCTGATTCATTTGCACACAGACTGTTGGTTCCTTGCCTCTCAGGCAGATATACTCCCGACTTCAAAAAAAGTTTCCATATTCTTCTTTTTTTGCATTTGGTTTTGTATGCTCAGATCAGACCATCAGGTGGGTTGCCTCCATGAACTTGCATGTCAATAGCAGGTCATTCATGGTTCCCCATAGCTTGGTCTGAACACTTTGCTCTTAAGGCCAGGTTTCTTTTTGAAGTTGTAGGTGAGCAGTCTGCAGAATGTGCTTAGGTGTTTGCATCCTGTCTTTATTTTATGCATGTGGTAGTTGAGCTTGCAGCGTTCAGTTCGGAGATGGAAAATTGTTGTATGTTGCTTTCTGTTGAGTCTGCTGATGGGGTCTTGTCAATTTTTATCTATTTTTAGGTATAGTTTACATATTTACAGCTAGACCAGTACACAGCTACACAGTACACAACCACAGACCAGTGCACAGCCACAGACCAGTGCACAGCCACAGACCAGTGCACAGCCACAGACCAGTGCACAACCACAGACCAGTGCACAGCCACAGACCAGTGCAAAGCTACACATCTACACACTAGTACACAGTCACATGCCAGTGCACAGACACACATCAGTGCACAGCCACAGACCAGGGCACAGCTACACACCAGTGCACAGCTACACCTCAGTATACAGCTACACACCAGTGCAAAGTTACACATCTACACACTAGTACACAGCCACACGTGGCAGTGCACAGCCTCAGACCAGTTCACAGCTACACACCAGTGCACAGCCACACAACAGTACGCAGCTACACATCAGTACACAGCTACACATCAGTACACAGCTACACCCAGAACACACCCACACAGCTATTCATTGGTACAGTCCCACAAACTGGTACAGTCCTACACAGTGGTTCTGTGTTTTGCACCAGTACAGTACAACATACCGTTTAAGAACCAGCACTTTAAAATCCTTACCTTTTTATAAGATCTCTGGCCTCATTGGAAATAGGCATCTCTGGTGGGAAGATGAGTGTCTCTCGCCAGTTCATAACCTTTCTGTAGGTCTCTTGCGGATTTTCAGAACAGAAGGGGGGATAACCTGTCACAGTAGATAAATCCGTTATTTCACATGGCTACAAAGATTTTTTTTTTTTTTTTTTTTTTTACTTATATTATCCAATTCCCCGTGTGGGTTCCGGAGCTCCATTGTGGGGAAAGCAAGATCAAACTGGTTGACTCCCCAAACAAGCATGTTATAAAAGTCCACTAATGGGCGCTTCCTTCGAAGTCTGAGTGCATCTGCCTGAGACGCAAGGAATCAACAGTTTGCATTACAAATGCCCACATCTGTCAAATGGATGTGCATTTAAACCAACTTCTGGAACAAGTCCAGAAGTGGCCAAACAACCAGAACCTTCCACTGGAGTTAAGAGCTAGTGAACGCCAAGAAGCAGAGAGATTACAGGACTGACCAGTTAGCCTTCCGGTGCCAAGCTGTATAGATAAGTGAAGGACAAGCCTTGCACCACAGCCTTCACAGAGGTCTGTAGCCTTATCTACAACCCACTGCTAGGGAGAGAGAGAAAAGAAGAACGAACGAACGAACGAACGAACAAACTTTATTTTCAAAGGGTTACAAATAAAGTTTGTTCGTTAGTTCGTTCGCATGGAAGTAGAAGAGGAAGATAACCAACCATCTTTGAGAAGCTAATACTGCAGGCTGGAACTATTCTCTGCTTTGCTTGTTTGACACACTTTCAGGAAACGCAAGCCATCATATCCCAGCTCTCCTTCTTCAATGATTATCCTTAAATAGGCGGCTGGTAAACTGTGCTGTGGTTTACAGCTAGGCTGTGATATCTGCCCTTTTGGGCCCAGAATATCTAATTTCAGAAAACCCTTATTTGTAAAGGGGCAGGGAAATCTACTTATCTCTCCCACAATCAGGTATCAGGACTGCTAAGAATACGCGATTTGGGAGTAAAGATCGGCACAGCCAAGCATGAGAAGCACACCAGACACACACAAAGTCTTGTTAACCAACATAGGACTGGTACTATTAACCACACGAAGCTGATGAATATGATGAGAGGGGAATCTGAGCGCCTATGGATGTGTCCGGAGTGCTGTGAAGATAATCTAACTCAAAACCTCATAACCAGGACTCATTTAATGAATACATCAAACATAAAGTACCAGAAACAAAACCATTACACTGTAAGACAATATTATTAAACTGTTCACCTATAAGCATTTCATACATGATGACACCCAAGGACCACCAATCACATGAGCTTGTGTACCCGTTCTGCATGAAGACCTCTGGGGCAATGTAGTCAGGAGTTCCCACAGTTGAGTACGCCTACAATCAGACAAATATGTTTTACAAGTGAAGTGAAATGGTTAACAGTGCACTGACTGCAAAGAAATTCAAGCTGGAGCTGGGGAGAGAAGCAAAATATGAGGCTGAAATATTAGAAAGAAGCAACAATTCAGGCTGAAATATTAAAGAGAATCAGAAATGTGGGGTGACATATTATGGAGATGCAAAAATGCAGGCTGAATTGTTAAGGAACATGAACAAGTGTGTCTTTTACAAAAGCAGCCTGAATTTTGGCTTCTTCCTGGCAGATGGTAGACCTTGGTTGGTAACATTTCCTTGACAACAATCAGGCATTTCATTGCCAATACTCTCCAACCTAGTTTTCTCCAAAAAGCCAACCAGATCAAGCCAAGGAATTTGCAAACTTGTCATCCTTGCATGGGTACTGCAGACCAATCTCTGGGTAACAGAAACACTGCACCCACAGCAGGCTGTTGTAAATGGTGACAAATTATAGCATTTTCCTTCAGAGCACATCTGCTTGAGAGGTAAGGAACCAACAGTCTGCATGCAAATAGGCAGATATGTAAAATGAATGTTCATGCAAAACTCAAGTTCTGGAAAAAGACAAAGTCCAGAATTGGATGTTGAGAAGAAAGAAAAAGAGGAAGAAGAAGAAAGAAGAAGAAGAGGCAGGCTTGTTGTGGCTAGTTAAATTTTTCAAACAAAATAAGTTAGCCAATGTCCAAGAGAGGAGCTAAATAAGTGTAAAAAGTAAATATGATGTCAGTGACCCTAGAAAGCTCAACTCACCAGTGCTCGTCTATTCCGCTTCCAGCTCTCAGCTTTCCTCTTAGAGTCCATGGGGTTTCCATCTGCAACAATAGATGATGGAAAAATGAAAGTCACCAGAAGACAAAACCTCTGAGAGGTGGCTCAGGAGTTTTACAATTTAGAATGAAGGTGTTGAGACACACCAAGAAACTGGTGTGAACTTTCAGTCCATCTATAACATTCAAAGCGATGCTCTTCTCCTACTATTCATCTTCCTGATGCTCTGACTGTTGAACTCATCTAGACCCACTTCACTAATCGAGTCGTTTCCAAATATGAAGAATACACTTTGTGGATGTTGTTGCATATCTTGTTCTTTTTGCTCTCCCTCCCAGTGGTTTTCAAACGAGAAAACCACATGCCTCTGTGAAGTCTGTGGTGTAACGCTTGTCTTCCACTGTTTCATACAGCTTGGTTTCCATTGGAATACCAACCGGCCAAACCTGGGATCTCTCTACTGCCTGTAGACAGACAGCGTGTCTGTAGCACACGTTCAGTCTTCTGTGCATCTTTTTTCTTGGTTTTAGCCAGTTGTGTGCTCTCTCTGCCCTCTCCTCCTGCCTCCACAAGTCGAGGTAAAGTGAACACCCATAACTCCGTTTGGGCTTCTTTGTGTAGAGGAGGGCCCAGTACTGCCCCCTTGCCTGGCAGGGGGCAGGATTCAACATGCTCAACATCACATTCATCCTTCTAATTTTCAGACACTGTCGTTACAGGTTCGGCTGCGACACTTTCTGGTCCTTTCAGCCCAACACTTCGACTTTACAGTGCTTTTCTGTTAGGATGGGCTTCCTTGAGGATCCCCCTTATGGAGCTCAGGCCCTTCACCAACTGATGACAAGTCATCCTATCCATTGCCATTCACTATTTTGTGCAGCTCACCCCATGTCCTCCATTTTGTACCCAGCTTCTGAGTTGAGTGCATGGTGTGACACTGTGAGCTGCGTGTGTTTTTTGTTGGCACAGGAGCGGAGCAACTATGGGGTGAGCCGTTTGCTATGAAACTGAAACTAGGATTATCAGATGTCCTCCCCATCTCATTCATCTGGCAGAATTTGGGTTTCCCTTTCTATGGCCTGTGGGTTCAAGTACAAGGACACTCTAGGTACATTCTAATAATGTTTTCTCAATGTGTGTCCATCTAGTCTCAAAGTATTTTACTGTCTCTCAATTCAGTGTTTAGCTCTTTCCTGAAACTCTGCCTTAGTGACTCTGTCACAGTATTAACATGATGATACAATAATTATACAGAAGCTGGAATTCAGGCTGAAGTATTAAGGAGAAGCAGTAAGGTGAGATGGATATACAAGCAGACTGTTACTAATACTATCAGAACTAGAACTCTGCACTTGTTGCTGAAGATGGGGACAGAGTGCTTATGGGAACTAAACATTAAACAATAATTAAAATAAATGCTAATGATTACGACAATAATCTTTTTCTTCAGCAATCTCTAGTCATGTGCATAATCTTCTGTGGGCCATCAACTGGGATGTCATCTCCAGTGTCTCTTAGGTTTCCCAAAAACTCAGTTGTCAGGTCTAGTGGGTGTTGCCACATGTTGATCCGCCAAGAAAGGACAGTATTGCAGGACACGTTCTGGAGTATGCTCAGCAAGAAGACACAGGCAGAGAGCCTTCTCGCTCATACCTAATTTATATGAGTGTTTGTTGAGTCTGCAGTGTCCAGTGCGTAAGCGAAAAACTGTGACTTGGTCTGTTCTGTTCAGATGTTTGAGGAAATCTTCTTCATGGTTCTGGTAATCTGGTAATTTTAGTTTCAGCTTCACAGCAAACGGGTCACCCCATAGTTGCTCCACTCCTGTGCCAACGAAAAACACACAGAATGTTTATCACAGTCCCTCGTGGTTATAACCTGTGGTGTTTTTTCAGTCTGTTTCTGTTTTCTCTTAATGAGGGTTTTGACTTCTGGACAAAATATTAGCCTGTAGATTTGTGGTTTGCCGCTGCCTTCCTTGGTGAGTCTCTGCCATTTTTTACAAAAACAATAATCATAGTGGTGGAATTACCTTTAATATTAGATATGTTGAAGACCCATATAATGTTATAACCATCAGCAGCACCATCATCATCATCCAAAAACACAATGTGTCGCTGAGAGTCCCCAGCCGCTGTTAACTGCCTGATCAGCTCCATAAAACTCTGCTGCATCTTTGAGGCCTGTTCCTTCAGCCAAATTCTGGATCCAAGCATTTCTTTGTCTACCTCTTCTCCTTTTCAGAGCCTTGTATCATTTTGGAAAGGTCGGCTGATCTTGTTTCATGTTACAGCTATGATGAAATAATGGCTTTAAAACAAGAATTCATAATAAATGCAATGCTGAGGATATGATGGGATTCACACAATAAACGGTTAGCTTTAACACCAACTTACTGGCTAGATCCCTGCCGAAGTTGGTGGAGGACTTTGAGTTTGACGACAAGTCCTTATAGAAGTCAGTCCTGTGTGACTTCTTCATCCCTGTACATAGACCAAAGTCTGACAGCTTGATATGACCCTGCAGACAATGTGTAATAGCAACAAATGTACAAAGCAATCATTCTTGCATTCTATACACTTCTTCTCTTATGTCTTCTTCTCTTCTGCTGCTGCTACCACTTCTTCTCCTCCATCTTCTTTTCTGCTGCTACCACTTCTTCTTTGTCCACCTTTAAGAGGGTGGTTGGCACATTGTATTGTGGTTTACAGCAAGGCTGCAATATCTGTACCTTGCAGCTCAACAAATCAAATTTCAGTTATCTCTTATGACACACTTAAGGGGCAGTAAGTCTATTCTTCTTTTCCCCCAAAATGGCAACAGAAGCTACAAAGGGACATTAATTCCTCTTTCTTTTTGTTTTTTAATCTTCTGCTTTTTATCCCTTTATGAAACAAATCAGAGCAGCTGGCCGAACAGTTAACAATGATGGACTCTCACTTACAAGATCCAGGTTCAAAGGCTAGGTGAGGTTATTGGTTTTTATGTTGGTGGCAAAAATAAAATTCGAATCTGCATATCCAAAGGTGACAGAACTAGCCATGCGACCCTAAATCCTCAGACTCAAAGACCCTCGACCCCCTCGCAATCCATGTGATGTTTACTTCCCGTCCTTTTTAGGATGGAATTTTTCGTTATTTGAAACCCTACTCTGGCTCTTGCCAGGGGCCGCAATATAGCATGGCTATAAATATGGTCTAAAGGCTGAACGCGGTTTCTGGGACCTCTCTGCGGTAATCCTCACCCTCATGGTGGCACATTGTGTCATTGGGTGTTTATCGCCTGTGTGATGTCCTGGTGGGGTAGAAAGTCAGTCAGTCAGCCTCCCAATCCTATATTACAAATAGGGTATTAACAGCAGTTGTGGGCTGCATGGAATACAGGGAGTAACTCACATAAGCCCTTGAGCAAATGTCAATGACTGGTCTGATTTTATTTCCTTTAATAAATGTTGCTAATTTCTGACATAATTCTACAGACAGTACAAACAAGTACAAACAAGGCAGTACAAACAAGACAGAATTACCTTGTTGTGCAAGAGGTAACTGTATATACCGGATCTCCTAAACTTACGACCAAGCTCCATTCCAACTAACAGGTCATAGGTCTAATTTATATTTCTCAACACTATTTTTCTTTTATTGGGTTAAAAAAACTTGTACATAAACACAAAAATGCAATCTATGTACCTAAAACCAGACCCTGCTGCACTCTAGACATCAGTTCCTAGAACCTGTTGCCACACCAATGTAGTTATCTTTTTTTTTTTATTTACTATTTTTATCTATTTATTTTGTGTGGTCGTCAGTGCGGATATTCGTAAGTTGCTTAGGTAATTGGGCAAGGAAAATGTGTAGTCTAAACAAGATCGAACAGTTACGTAAAAAGACAACTTGTGGTAAACATATGTTGTTTATAGTGTATTCTCAAATCTGTGTACTTCTTTTTATGAGTGCCGATCATCACATGTCAATGTGTTCATCATATTTTTTACTATAGGGTTCCGATACATAGGAAAACTGAATATATCACCAGCATCATTACAAGCATAACTCCAGCTGTGCTTATACGTGTTCATCCACAGTGGAGGACACGTATCAAATTGTGTTTTTAAAACAAGGGTAGTCATATTCAACGATACAAGTGGGAGGACAACATCAAAAGATGGGCAAATAGCAGTCTGAGTTTACAATCAAGACAAGAGATAGAGCGTGTTGGAGATTTATTACAGCCAACCTTCCTTGTAAAGTCAGCACCTCACTGACTGATAACTCCTGTAGAATAGGCATTTCCAACTGAGGGGATCCTGTGGGAAATATAGGTCATATTTGTGTCGTCATGAGAGCCACCCACAACAACTGACTGAAGCGGTTTAATAAATATCACTGCAGAATAGTTTTATTGCATCGGCGACCGGGCCGCCAATTTGCTCGCCGGTAGAAGACGTCATCGCCGGTCAGGGCAGTATTTACAGATCTGAGTTATTTGCATGTAGACTGTTGGTTCCTTGCCTCTCAGGCAGATGTACTCCGACTTCGGAAAAAAAAGCACCCAATTAGTCGACCTTTACGACATGCTTTTTGGGCAGGCAGTGGGTCTATTCTTGTTTTCCCCCACAATGGGGCCTGGAACCTTCACGGGGAGGATGCTAGTTAAACGTGATGATTTGTTTTGTTTTTTAGCAAAGCAACATAACGGAACTTTCAATGAGGCAGCCGGTGTGCTTACAAAGAGCCACATGCCGCCCATGGGTCACATGTTTGACATGCCTGATGTACAGAATGTTATTTTTTAAAAATCATTAAAAAAAATTTATTTGTCACCAAAGAAGACAAGCTTACCCGGTTGTCCAAGAGGAGATTATCAGGTTTGATGTCTCTGTGAATAAAGCCCAGCTTGTGTATAGAGTCAATCGCCAGTACTGTCTCTCCAATATAGAACTGAGTCTGCTCCTCGGTCAGTGTGTCCTTTTTCATCAAAAGGGTCATCATATCACCTAGAAGATAAAATCCACATACGTCTGTTACTGTCACTACGTTATACAGTGTGGGTTTTAGGACCCCACTATGGAGACAGACCAACTGCCTCCCAAAAAAGCATGTTGTACCAAATGACCATAACAGCATGTATCAGTTCAGGGTGCCGACACATGCCCTCCATGCCATGCAGCATCAGACTCGTCAAGCATCTCTCTCTCGTTGTCTTCCTCTATCCCTTTTTCCACAGATCTTTCCAGTGGTCACAACATGTTCTATTTTCCCTCTTCTCATAACATGGCCGAAAAATTATGACTGTCTCCTTCTGATGTCTGTAATATACAGCATATGTCCTGGTTTATCATCCACAACACAGTGTCAATATAGAGAATATGTCCTGGTTTATCATCCACAACACAGTGTAAATATGGAGCATATATCCTGGTTTATCATCCAAAACAGTGTCAATATAGAGTATATGTCCTGGTTTATCATCCACAACACAGTACTCACCTCCAGGCAAGAACTCCATGATCAAGTAGAGACAACTCGTGTCCTGGAAGGAGTAGTACATCTTGACCACCCACTGGTGGTCAGCCTCGGCCAAGATATCCCTTTCTGCTCTTACATGGGCAATCTGGACAAGGAAATCAAACAATCAATTCCTCATAAAGATTTATGAAAGGAGTAATCAATAAAAGTGAACAAGGTGAAGCAATAAATAGAATACATCCTCCAGAGGTTAAAAAAAATATACACGAATCAGGTGTATGATAGAAATTCCCAGAGGGTTTTCCAACTGAGAAGACAAGGTCGGAAGGCCGGGAAAACGAGGAACACGTAGAAAAGGTGTGTTTAGAATATACTGTGTTCTCTGAACAGTGGTAAGGGAAAAACGTGAGACTGGAACGAACGATTGAAAGGACAGCTGATGCAGAGTCAGTTGTGTTTTCACCAAGTAAGAGGCAGGTCATCTGATGGTGTGACTGTGGTGAACGTTGATTGTGAACTGAACAAATGCAGCTTTTGAAAGCTAAGAATGTCAATGAATCTTACTGAGAAACTTAGAGGTCAACTTGGCTTTAAAGAAACTATTTAGCTCAAAGGGAAACCCTTCTAAAAGCTATAATTTATTTATTTATTTATATCCTGAAAAGAGTTTGCTCAGGTGCAAAACCAGCCAATAGCATTAACCATGCATTGCGTAATCAGGTCACTATAGACAAGTCTGAAGAGTGACATTTATGGGGAAGTGGACCCAACCAAAAGTGCTGGTTTTCTTTTTTCTCATGGTAAAAGGGTTAAAGACAATCTACAAGACTGGATCCACAAACAAAACTGTATTTCAAAGGTAAAGAAAGTCACATAGTTGCTACTACGGACGGTGTGACGTGTCAGATCTTTACATAATCTCAACTATGACCTTTTCTTCTTCTTAGCTTTCACCAACTGGTGGAAAGTTTTGGTTTGGTTGTTGTTTATCCACTTTACTCTTGTTCCAGAGCTTGAGCATTGCACATCTGTTTTGCAGATCTGCATATTCTTATGCATACTGTTAGTTCCCTAAAATCCCTAAATTGTCGCCTTTTACGACATGACTGATAGGTAGGCAGTGGATCTATTCTTCTCCCCCCCCCCCCCCCCCCACCCCCCCCCCCCCACCCCCCCCCCATTTCCCCAAATGGAACACCAGAACCCACACAGGCAAGCTTCGGCTGAATCAATTGATGTTTCCAACTGCCTTTCTTACCAACTTTCCTCTCCTGACAATTATTAACATTGCCCTTCAGAGTATCTGTCAATGATTAGTCTGATTTTGTTTTCTATGGGATGAGTGAGCCATTCTCACACCCGGCTTGATGAGGCTGGGTTGTTCCGAGAGGCATAATGATGGGGAAATGTTTCTGCCTGTGCTACAGACTGAAGCCAGACCACTGTATTAGTAGGCCAAACCACTAACACAATGCCAGTTTGGCTACATTTAAAAGATACACCCTCTTCTTCTTGTTCTGATTCTTAGTGTTCAATGGCTGTAAATTCTGGCAATGAGTTCTGGCTGTCCATCCACTCCTGGACTCTGGTCTTGATCCAAAATTTGAATTTTGCATGCATGGCTTATTTGTATGCACAGCCCTGGTTCCAATTAAAAAATCCATAATTAGTTACCCCCTGTAACACTGCTGTTAGGAAAAAAAAGGGGAAGGGTAAGGAAAGTTGGTCAAAAAACCGAATCCAGTAAGGAGCCTCAAGAGAAAGCCAACCCTAGAAATTCTAAGCAGTAGACAAGAATTGCATCAGAGAGTAATAATATACAGATACAGCGGTAACAGAGCCAGAGGTAACAGAGCCAGAGGTAGACCATGCAGAAAATAGACCACAGAAATATCAGACACTGAAAAGTACTTTTTACGAAGCGAACAGACGGGCTGTTCCAGATAGCTCTTCCTGCGCTGACACCATGAAGCATTCCAGGAGTTGAGAAAAGAAGAAGAAGATAATCACAGAAACAAGCAACACAATAGTAACAGATAAACGTGGAGTCTGACCTGATCCTTCTCCACCATGTCGGCTTTCCTCAAGATCTTCATGGCATACACATGACCTGTGTCCTTCTTCTGCACCAAGCGGACCTGTGAAGGGGAGCACGTTTATCTTCTTAGTATTATGGCTTGGTTGTGTCACTTATTGGCTGAGTGTGTAGTCTACTGTTTGGTTGGTGGATTGGTTAAGCATGTGATGATCTGTTGATTGACTGATTAACTGATTTGTTCAAGTAGTTGGCTGAGTATGTGATTTGCTGATGGGCTGGAGTATGTGATCTGATGACTGACTGGTTGGTTGGCAGAGTGTGTGATTTGCTGGTCAGCAGGTGGCTGGTTGGTTGTTGCAGGTCCTTCTGTATTTAGGTCCTTCTGACGAAATCACGGCACATTTTGGTGGAGTCCCCTCGAAAATTGGTTACTGGAAGCATTTCCATGTTTCACTGTGTGACATTTTTTAACGTGCTTACAAGTTCTGTGATCTGAATGTATTCGTATTACAAATCGACAAGCGCATATTGTGAAGTGGATATACAAGATTTTCAAACTTTGCTGTTAGATAACAGCAATTTAAATTTAAATTCACGGCAGACAGTCGTGTTGTGATGTGTGTGTCACTGTTTCTAGTCAGTAGTTTGGATTTTTGGGAACTGGCTGTTTATTCTTTTTCTACTTTGAATGCAGAAATCTTACTTTTGGGGAAAATACAAACAGGTAATTTAGAAGCCATATCTGGAGAATATTGACAGTTGTCAGGTGCAAACTATCTTGTGTTGGCCTATTGCTTTCATATTGACTGTGCATAAATGGTGCAACCACACTGTGGATAAATTGTGTCAAGATATTTTGGAGCTCTGGGTAAGTGCATAAAAACAATAATTCATTTACTAACTAACCTTTCACAGCAAATCACTCTTTGCCGCTTTACTAATTGTTGACTAACAGTATAATTATATGTTGTAGAAGTAGACTAATAATATTATTATTTTTGTGAATCGTCTTCTGCTTCGCGAACACTGGCTGTAAACTCTGGCAGAAACTTCTGGTTGTTTATCTACTTCTAATGCACATTTGCAGTTGTACGGTCTGTGTTCATTTTTGTGAATTGTCTTTTGCTTCGTGAACACTGGCTGTAAACTCTAGCAGAAACTTCTGGTTGTTCATCTACTTCTATGCACATTTGCAGTTGTCTGGTCTGTGAATTGTCTTTTGCTTCGTGAACACTGGCTGTAAACTCTAGCAGAAACTTCTGGTTGTTCATCTACTTCTATGCACATTTGCAGTTGTACAGTCTGTGTTCATTTTTGTGAATTGTCTTCTTTTTTGCGAACACTGGCTGTAAACTCTGGCAGAAACTTCTGGTTGTTCATCTAATTCTGGACTTAAGTCTAGTTCCAGACACTGTTTTGAACAACAAAATCCGGTATCTATATGGTGAATTTTTGTGTTTGATATGTGTATGTTGCACAGCATTTGAAGTTATATGGTCTTTTTTAATTTGCTTTAATTACCTTTAAAATAATATACCATCATGATACATGCAGTATTCAGAAATATGTGTGATGTATTTTTAAACAGTTACCAAAAAATTCACAATGATAATGATTGATTTCATCCAACAAGATGAAACTGGACAAATTTGTTTGTGCTGTTTGTACCTTGAGGATAAATATTTAGTAGAGCTATAAGTATTGTTAAGAAAACTGCTCTGGGTGAAAAGTTATTGGATATATTAATTTCATATTGACTGTGCTTGTTTACTAATTATTAAATAACAGTATAATTATATGTTGTAGTAGTCTACTAATAGTAATAATATATAATCAATCATTTATATTTATGTTATGTATGACGTGTATGTTTCACAGCAGTATTTTTATGCGCTAAATTTGATAAGGTACAAATGTCACCCCCCCCCCCCCCCCCCACCTCCTCTGATGCACAATACCCAAAGAGTTAGCACTGATATTTCTTTACTTTTGCTGGAATAACTTCCAGTTTTATATCCAAACGTTATTGATGTTTATGTTCATGTTGACTGTAGCAAAAAAAAATTTGTCTGTCTGTGAGAGCATTTATTTTTTATATTTAAATAGCACACTTATCTACCTTAAAAATGATGTTTAGTTCTATAAAATATGTCAAAAATTAATGAAACTGTAGTTTAATTTGTGTATACATCTCCTCGATAAAAACTGTGGACACAGAGGGACTCCATTCTTGGACAAGAACGGGAATCCCCGTTGACCTCTTTGGTCTATAAATAGAGTAGGCCGTGGTTGTTGGGTCTATGATTCTTTGGCTGAGTGAGTGATCTGTTGATTGACTGGTTAACTGATTGGCTGGTTGGTTGGCTGAGTATGTGATTTGCTGATTGGCTGGTCAGCTGGTGGTTGGTTGGTTGTTGGACCTATGGTTCTTTGGCTGAGTGAGTGATCTGTTGATTGGCAAGCTGGTTGGATGGTTAGTTAGTTGGTTGGTTGTATGAGTGTGTGATTTATTAACTGGCTGGTTTGCTGACTGAAAGTGTGGTCAACTGGCTAGTCACTTTGTTGGTTGATGGGAATTCCCTAGAAGATTTTAGCTTAAACATCTAAGTGTGATGCATTTGCAACCGGGTGATTTGAGTCCTGTAAAGCCTCCTCCATTTATCAGTGCAGGGTTGGTGCAGAAACTGCCATCCCACTTAGTACAAGTCTGGTTGGTAGTCTGTATGAAACCCCACCAGTATATAGATTTGGGCTGCTTCAACTCAACTAGTACTTATTGTTTTTATTTTACATTCATCTGAGGACTTAAATGTGATATGCTTGTTCATAAAATGGCTGTGATATTTGTGCCTTGTGGCCGACACATCTGACTTTCGACTTCTACAGGCATTTCTTGCTCTAGTTTTACTTTTCTGTTAGTTTCATAAAGCACTGTTTCTTAATTCAGTCTGCCACCCTCACAAACCAAAGCATGTCAAATGCAGTGAGAAATAGAGTGTTGAGGTGCTGTGTAGCACTAGAAATAGAGTGTTGAGGTGCTGTGTATAACCAGAAATAGAGTGTTGAGGTGCTGTGTACAACCAGAAATAGAGTGTTGAGGTGCTGTGTATAACCAGAAATAGGTGTTGAGGTGCTGCGTAGAACCTGTGTTGCTGTACACATGTGAAACATGGACAACAGGCAGGCTGAGAAAACATTTTTTCGCGGCAGAGATGTGGTTTCTGAGAAGAATGCAAAGAAAATTTTGGAAGGATAGAAAAACAAACGAAGCAGTTCCTCATGGAGACAGATGAAAGTCGTAAACTGATTTGAACAATCACATATGCAGAGTCAATGTTTTCTTGGACAAGTTATGAGAAGGAATCCACGCGAGAACTTGGTGGCGACTGGCAAGATTTATGGAAATAAATCAAAAGGAAGGCAGATATAAATATCTAAATGGAGTGGCCAGATGGATGAGGTGGGACCAACACACTGAACTGATCTGTGATTCTGGTGATCGTGTGAGATGGTGAAACTGACACGCTATACGCTTTACCGGTTCGGCAGATGATGATGATGACAGCACCAAAGCTCCCAGTTAATTTAGAAAATGATTAGTTCCTCAAATTGGACATGAAGTTATACAGAACAAGAAAGACCCCCCCCCCCTTTCTTAGCTTCCCACTAGCGAACGAAACTAGCCATTTTCTATGTTTAGCAACGTCCAAACAAACATTCCCGCAAAACATTCAGAAATAGCCTTGAAAAAATACACTATCTGCCGGCACGTGAATTATCTCCCAACAACGCAATTCGTTTTCGGGTTTGCCAACAAGTTGGACCCGCCTTTAAACAACTATTTCTTTCCACATGCACTGCCATACATACAAATTCTTCCATTCACAGTTTTGAGTTGCGCAAGGGTGGTGCACTTGACTAAATTTCAGGATTTTTCAGTCTCATTTCTATAAAACTAATTCAGACTTGTTCAACTGTATACCCTGGCTGCTGTCGCCGCTACAAGTGCCTTATATTTGCCTGTTTTGGAGGTTGAACAGAGTATCTGGGACTTTGCCTTGTTGGTCTGCCATCCCAATTGAGATTTTTAAAATTTAGGATAGGATGGCTAACCTTTAAGTAGCGGCCCAAAAGGGGCAACCCGATCTCTGAGTGTGTGTCTGCGTGTGTACCTCCCCCTCCCCTCTTTTATTTTCTCTTTTTCTCTTAAACACTTAACTTCTCGCGTTAATTAATGTCACTTTCAAAATTATTTCTATTAAGTCTCCCTTTCGGACTCTATACCTCTATGTTCCGTCGCCCCCGAGAATAACAACATCCAACAACAGTAGTTAATCGCCACCATCACTAGTCTTGGGTTTTTTTCCTTCCCTAAATCTGTGCTTTTATTTGACGCCTTGGTCACCTTGGGTTCAGGTGATGGAATCTTAGATTTTTTTTAAACTATATCCTTATATAAAGTGACTGAGTAAATGTTTCTATAAAATGTGTACTTTTTCTTATTCTTAGGGTTTGTTTTTTACAATATGTATTGCTTGGGTGAGTCGGCTCTGTGGCTAAGTCGATGCGAACGCTTCGCTTCGTAATGCCAGGATGCCAGGTTCGATCCCAGCTGCGGGCCATGCGCCTTGCGTTGGTTTCGACAGTGGTATCAAGAAAGCCGACCGTCCAGAGCAATGGCAAACTACTAGACGTAAATTTGTCTAGAGAGACCACACAACAGCCAGGGGCTGTTAGAGTTGGTTCTGCAACGTCCTATAAAAGGATACGCAACTAACTAAACCAAACCAATTGCTTGAGTATTTTGGTCAGCTTAGCTTGGGTTATGATAAAAATCCAATCGGCAGCCAGCCCTGTCAAAAACAGCTTCTGTTGAAGCGTACTTGTAACAAACAACATAAAAATGCACGGCCCGCCGTGTCACTCCCTGTAAAGTTAGTTATGAGGAAAACCCGAGTCACTAAGTTACGGGGAGAAAACTTGGGAGGCGTCAAGCCATGACAAATCTACCGAAAACCCACTTGACGGCAGCCATGTCGCGACGGGAGGACAAGGTCGTTAGTAATGAACTACTAATGCAGCAGTAAGTACATTCCGGTGAGTGTACTTGTCTGTGGGAAACATCCTTGTTTGTATGAATTCGCTTTGCTAATGCAGACGGCTTTATAAGAGCTGTTTATTTTGGTATAGGTTTGACATTAAGTATGTAAGGGCTGATCTCTCTCTCTCTCTCTCTCTCTCTCTCTCTCTCTCTCTCTCTCTCTCTCTCTCTCTCTCTCTCTCTCTCACACACACACACACACACACACACATATATATATATATATATATATATATATATATATATATATATATATATATATATATATATATATATATATATATATATATCGTGGATTTTTATCATGGTATGGGCGTTGCAGGTCGACCCAGCCTAAAATGGTACCAGGGTGGCTGTCCTGGGAAAGTAAAAACGGCTGGCGTAATGCTGACCACATACCCACCTAGTGCCGAAGGTCTGTAAAAAAAAAAAGGGGGGGGGGCGTTCTTATATTATTCGATACACCTAAAGGCGTGAAAATGGATCTTTATTTTTTGACTAATCCATGGTTGGTTGGTTGTTGTGGCTATTGTTTTTTTTTTTTTTTTTTACAGGATGAGGTAACCAACTCCAGGCCAAACCCTACCCTTAGTCGCCTTTTACGACATGCCTGGTAGGGTGCAGTGTCACTATTTTTTTGCTTCTCGTGAGATGACACACGGGCGATCTCCTACTTAACTGCATGAAAAATACAATCAAGTTACGCGTGCTTGCTAAAATCACTTGGCACAGTAAATTAGTTCTTATTTCATTACCAAGAGTTGATATTTTCTAACTAGGCCGAATAATACGAAGTCTGGATGGTCTCGAGTCGGATAATCGGCTGTTTGCGTGCGGTGCGTGCGGAGGTAGGTAGGTAGGTAGGTAGGTAGGTAGGTAGGTAGGTAGGCAGGTATGTATGTATGTATGTATGTAGGTAGGTAGGCAGGTAGCACGACCAGCTCCAGGATAAACAGAGTCGACCATGGCGGGCGGGCGGGCGTGTGTGTGCGTATGTATGTATGATATTTCTGTATGTATGTATGTATGTATAGGTATGTATGTATGTATGTCTGTACTGTATGTCTATGTATGTATGTCTGTATGCTAAGGTATGTGCATGCGTGCGTGCGTGCGTATGTGTGTGTGTGTGTGTGTGTGTAGGCAGGCAGGCAGGCGTACGTGTGTGTGTGTGTGTGCGTGTGTGTGTGTGTGTGTGTGTGTATGTATGTATGTATGTATGTATGTATGTATGTATGTATGTATGTATGTATGTATGTATGTATGTATGTGTAAATGGCAATCCTTTTTTATAGACCAGTGTTTCCCAAACCTTTCTTGGTTGCAGCGTCTTTTTATAATTAAAATGTTTCCACGCTGCACTTACCTAAGTCAAAGTTGACTATTCGTGTCTTGGTTACATTATTTATGAAGCATTTACAATATTTCGCGGCGCCCCTGTGAAGAGGTCGCAGCTCCCTGGGGCGCCGCGGCGCACAGTTTGGGAATCACTGGTATAAAGTATAGACCAACCTGCACTCGGTGGGCGATGTGGCCAATATCACAACGACCACCTTTACTTCCCAAAGCAGTGACTCTCAACCTTCCTAATTCCGTGACCCTTTAATTAAAGATTCCACCATGGTGTAGTGAAACCCAACCAATTATTTTCCTTCATTACTTTAATGAATATGTGTTTTTCGATGGTCTTATGCGACCCATGTGAAAGGGTCTTTACACCCAAAAGGGAGTCGCGACCCGCAGGTTTAGAACCCCTGTCCTAAATCATCCCTGCTCCCAGATCGCCAGTCAGACCACTAGACCTATGACAAGACGACCGGAATATCAGTGGGTCTACTGACAAGACCTGGTTGCTTCCAGATACCAAGCTAAGTGATTTGTGTGTATCCGTGTTGGTATTGTTTGATGTATGTATAGGCTGCCGAAGGCTCCATAGCCTCAACGCTATCGTTTTGATTGTTTGTTATATTGTGAAGCTTGCTGATACTTCTCGTTCGGTTTTATATCTTTTCTCGAACATCAGTCAGTCCTCCCGCGAGCACAAATCAGCGAAAGCCAACAGAGTTCTTACGAAAGGTTGGCCGTGAAAATGAATTATGTCCGTATTCCATAGCTGTGGATTTCAAGCTGTACGATAGACATGGCCAATAAGACAACTTTTTTGGGGGTGCCTAGTTGACCATGTTCTTAGTGCACTTGTATCCAAAGCGAGGCGCACACGCCATCTGGAGGTGACAGGTTCAATTCCCGGCACGGTAACTATAGCTTTCGATTGTAATGTTGTCTAGTGTGTTCTTCTATCTTTCTACTTCTTTCTATGAGTGCTTATCAATACACTTCCTGTTACTTGATTAATTCATAATATTACGAAAGGTTGAACGTTTCGGTTGAGAGAGACTAAATAGTCGGATCGGGTATTCTTCAAAAGAAATTCTTCAAACAAACAGTCAGGAAACTTTTCCAGGCCAACTGGAGCAAAAACACACCCGACACCGTTTCCTGACACATTCCAACGACATTATTAAATAGCGAATCTTACAACTGTCGGTGTCCTTTCACGAGATGGGTATAAAGGAAAACGGGTAATTCAAGGACAATCTTCCTCTTCTTCTTTTCTTTATCGTCCGTCCGAGTGATGTAAATGCACTGTTTACAGCATGACTGCGATATTTGGCCTTTTGGCCGATACATCCGAGGTTTAGGGCATTTATTATCGCAGTTAGCCTTGCTAATATTAAAATGATCCACCGTTCTACTTTATGACCTGGTGTTTCTAAATTTAAAAAAAAAAAATCCTTCCCTACAGGATCTCAGCCTGAAAGAAGACGGCAGATGGTAATGCTGATGATGATGAAGAAGCTAAAAAAAATAACTGGGAAAATGTTGGAAATGCGAGTGGGGTGGGTGCTCTTCTACAAAACGCAGGGCTGTCAATGGGACTTTTTTTTTAATCCACTTTAGCTGAACAAACACCCAATGCATAGGATAAAAACAAAAACAGAACAAAATTTAAAAACCCAGACTGCTAAAAAGTAGAAATTTTAAAGTTACAAAACGAAACATTTACCCACTTTTACATAACCCAGATTCCAAAATCTTAACCCAGTCGTCATTTAAAAAAAACAATATCTGGGGGGAAAACCCCAGCATTTCACCCTGCTTTAATGTACTGCAGGTAACATTTATTAGTGAAACTAACAGACATGTCATGCGTAAAGTACTTACCTCGCCAAAAGCGCCCCGACCGACAACCTTGAGTGATTCAAAATCATCCACGCCCAAACGGGATCGCTTCAGCCGGAGAAATTCCGTCTCCTTCACGGCGTGCTGAAGTCGACGCTCGCTTTTCTGGAGACAGAGAAAGGACAGCATGAAATCCTTTTAAACGTCTTCCAGACACAAGTAACGCCTGGTGTGAGAGTTAATCACGTAACAGAAAGTGTACTGATCGGCACTTATAGAAAGAAGTAGAAAGATAGAAGAACACACCAGACAACATAAAAATTGAAAGCTATAGTTACCGTGGCGGTGTGAGAGCAACGTTGTCCCTGACAGCCATATGTAAACCTACTAGTGCTCGGAACTATAAGTCTCCAAGCTCCAACATTCGTTCGTATGCAGAGAAGGAAAAAAAAAAATATCGGCACCCCCAAAAAAGACTGATAACCCGAACAGTGATAACCAGGAACTGATGTCGCCAAATCTATTACCCTGCTAATGAAACACGTGTCGAAAAAAAAAAAAAACAGACATTAGGAGACAGTGTCTGTCGGCCGACTTTGACAATGAAAAATAAGGTGACGAATGTTCTTTTTCTCTGGTCGACAGTATACAGATCAAAAGAGTGCGGTCACCTTTCTATATTTTCCCATACATATATGGTTTGATGTTTGAACAACGGATCAACTTCACAGCACACATGCAGTAACCCATAAGTGCTCTGTTCTACTTCTAACTCAAACCTGAGTCCGAAAATCTCAGTGCAGTGCACGAACTCCGTAGCACCGGCAAGGATCCTTAAATACTTTGGGTAGATTTGTAACTTTAGATTAACTAGTGATTAGGAGAACTCATCGGGAACCCAAGAAAGTTTTTCTTATCAGAAGTGTCTCTTATCGAGATAACATTTCAAGCATGAAAAACTGCCGGAGATGCAAACGTTTTTCTCCACAACGGAAATTCGTCACATCCGAGATCACCTTAAGCGGTCTGCACTGCGCTACCTACTACAGCGCCACGAAAGTGCACACAACAGTAACTACGTGTCACAGGCGCCAAAACATAACCATATGTGGGAGCCTAGAATTAGGGTACAGCTCACCTTACAAATTATGCAGGGCAAAAAAAAAAGGGGGGGGGGGGCAAAGGGTGTAAGCTTTGTTTAAAAGCCTAATTACTTTTATTAGTGCACACTTAAATAAGACTTTTCCCTTCCGCCCCTCCTTGGACTTTTATTATTGGCCGAGCTCCCTCCCAATGCTTTCTGTGTACTGGCTTGCAGCCGAGACCTACTGCTTCTTTGGTTAGCCTGAAATAAACTGTCTATATCAGCAACTTTGTCTGTGGTATACATTTTCCTTTTATTTCCATTTCATTTCTGGTGCACAGAGTTTACGTTCCACTGGTGTTCTTTTTTGGACAAAAGGTGCGAGTTTGCAGGCCTATCGAGGTGCACTGACCCGGCCGGAGATTTGGCCGTGGTTGTTTTGGCGGAGGGATTGTGTGATGTTCTCGTTCGATCTGGACCTGGTTGTAACAATACTGCTGGTCGTGGAATGTGAAACATAGCCACTGTTTTATTGTTCGAGGCTGGTGAAATCCAGTTCGGAGACGAGGCAGCTTCCGTAAGGCGGACAGGACAGGGTGAAGCCAGTGCAAGCAAGGTATGTAGAAGGGGTGTTGAGGGGAGGGGTATGGTGGTGTGGGGGGGGTGTAGATGGGAGGGGTGTGTGGAGGAGAGGGTGTGGTGGGGGTGTGGAGGAGAGGGGGGCAAATTTTGAATATACTTCTTTTGAATTCACCAATAAAAGAGAGGTTGGAACTATGTGTTGCGGTTTATAGCTTTTCCTGTGATATCTGAGGGATTGAGGATTTTTGTACATTAGTTTTTCGTTATTTGAAGCCCTACTCTGGCTCTTGCCAGGGACCGCAATATAGCATGGCTATAAAAATAGTCTAATGGCTGAACGCGGTTTCTGAGACCTCTCTAAGGTGATCCTCATCCACATGGTAGCACTTTGTGTCATCGGGTGTTTATCGCTTGTGCGATGTCCTGGTGGGGTAGAAAGTCAGTCAGTCATCTGAGGGACGCTGCGTGGTCTGGGGGCATGGTGTCCGCCTCGAGTGCTAGAGGTTCCGGGCTCAATCCCCGGTAAGGGCTAGGATTTGTTCACGTGGACTTGGACTTCTAGTATTTTCCCTGGTCTTTGGGTAGTGAGATCGGACGCCCGTGTTCGTTGTTGCGCACGTAAAAAATCCCTTGGCAGTTGGAAATCGAAAAGAGTAGCCTAACGCCGATGCTAGGGATAAATTTTGAGTTAAAAATCTACCTAAAGTATTTCAAGATCCTCGTCGGTGCTACAGAACCTGTGCACTGTAGTGAGCTTCTTCGGACTCAGACTTGAGTTAGAAGAAAAAAAGGAGCACTTATGGGTTACTACTGTGTGCAATGATGATGATCCGTTGTTCAAAACCTCAAACTGTGATATCTAAGATGAGGGAAAGAAAGAAAGAAAGATTAAACACACTTCTGAGATTCGCACTTAAAAGAGTGGCTGACTCGCTGTCTTGCAGTTTACAGCTTGACTGCGAAATCTGTCTTCTAAAATAACATATATATGTGCCATGATGTTGATTTGCTGTCTTAACCTATAAAATATCATCACTTTGCGGCAATGTTTTCTCTAGATAAGCCGCTAGACGTAGCAGATCTGGGTTTATTGTGTACTTAGGGGTCCTAGAGTTTCAATCCATTCATTCATTGGAAGGATTACTACTGCCGGCTTGTCTTTGCTCAGATTACGTCGGTTGAGACACTTTATCTCTGGGGGGGGGGGGGGGGCCCACCTGACAAAAGGCCTAGCTTTAGGACCACAGGAAGTAAAATTCACAGGAATTTTATAGTGCAGAGGTGGGATACTATGGACCCTGGGCTTAAACTGGCCCGCTGAGCAATTTTAATTGGCCCCTTACAATTATAAATTTTTCTCCAGAAAGGGGAGGAGTCCGCCTCTTTTGTTGTTGAATTGGGGGGGGGGGTGGTGTCTCTAGCGCCCTCGCTATAAAGGCGCTGCGTGGTTTCAATGTTTGATGTCCGCGTTGAGTGCTAGAGGTCCCGTGTTCAAGACCCGGTGAAAGCTTTGATTTATTTCTGTTCACGTGGACTTCTAGTAATTTCCCTTGGTCTCTGGATAGTGAGATCAGACGCCCGTGTGTATTGCTGCGCGCGTAAAAAAATCCCTCGGCAGTTGGAAATCGAAAAGAGTAGCCTAGCAGAGCTGCCCGGGCAAAATTTGGAGTTGAAAATCTACCCAAAATATTTCAGGATCCTCGCCGGTGCTACGGAGCCCGTGCACTGCGCTGAGCTACTTCGGACTCAAGACTTGAGTTAGAAGTAGAACAGAGCACTTGTGGGTTACTACCCGCGTGTCATGATGTTGATCCGGTGTTCAAATCTCAAACCTGCTATACAGTATTTTAGATGTAAGTTAGTGTAAGGTCCTGAGCTCCACTGCGGTTGCTGACAGAAGAGGTATTTAAAGTTTGCGCGGACAAAATGAGTTAAAGAAGACCATTTTTGAATGTAGTCGATTGTGTGTTTCAATTCGAAAGATTCATTTATTTGCTTAATTTTAATCAACTGTTACTGTAGTATGCACCTGACGAGATACAACCAAATACGCCAGGCAATAAATTCTGCAATCTACTTTCTGTGTCTTCTTTGTTTAAATTCACAACGAGGAAACACTGCTGTGGTTTTCTGAAACGTCCAGTCGTCAATGACATAACCACCATAGCTGAATAGGTGATTTGGTATCTCCTTACAGTGCGTGAAAGCACAGTACTTGCCCAGCAAGCTAGCGTATAACAAAGATATCTCCAGACTTCTTACTGGTATCCAGGGCTGACAAAGTTGGCATTTTCGGATAAACGTTTGTTTTCACAATCGACGTCACTATACACTGGGCATTTTCATGCGTGCTCAATCCTCCGATGCAGCAGCCACTCCAAAGTACTAATTGTTCCCACGAGAAGCTGGTTATATTGTCTCCTATCTCGGCCTTGAAGACAGCACATACGTGCTTTACCATTATTTACTCCCATGTCACGCAATCGTGTTAGTGTCAGGGATTCCTGATTATCCACTAGCCCAGTCCGTACAGCGTTGACGATATCTGCTCTGTCCATGCTTCTTCCCACATGACTTGGTGCAATGCTTGCCAGTTGGTCCGCTCGCTCATTTCCATTTACGCCCCGCATAACTATGTGTATAGATGCAGGTGAGGGAGGTTAAATGCGATTTTCTGATAAATGTGGTACCATTTGAGCCTTGCCGGGCAAAACTGTACTTTTGATACCGCGCTCGATGTTCTGATATGCTTAAGAAATTTTACATTGGTATTTTGAATTTTGCTTTCTGTGGGGGAAAAAAGGTGATAACAGCAGTGTTTCTTGTACTTTTCTTACTCGCGCCGCCTTTTTTTTTTTTTTTTAATTAAAATTTTTCCACGGCTCCCTAACCTAAATTAAACGTACGAGTTTTCGTATGTGAGAGATTTTTTTTTTTTTTTAATCCAGGGGACGCCGCAGCGCACAGTTTGGGAATCACTAGATTAGAATAATAACAATCAGCGTGATGCAATTGTTGATGCAAATGTACCGTTCGACGCCAGCGGTCAAATTTATTTCAGTTTCAAAGGTCAGTTCACGGTGTTCGTCTAGACAAACGGCGCTCTTTCTTGTCCCTTGTGTGGTTGAACATTAAAGTTTATTTCATGGCCAAGCTTTCTTTTTCACTTTTATTTGTTGTGACATTTCATTTTTTTTTTAAAGCCAGTTGTGTGTGTGTGCGCGCGTGCGTGCGCATGTAAACAAGTTTTAAAGAGTTTGTATAAAAAAATTTGGTACCTTTCGGCACCCTTTCAAAATTATTTCGGTACTATCCTCAAAACAATTTCGACAGCCCTCTCGATTTCAGAATAAAGAAACTCGCAAATGTCACCTGTTAAAGTTCTTAGAGTACAAAGGCGCTGACTGAAGGTCAGATACAGCAAGGCGTGTCGTACCTACCAAACGTCAGCGGGGTCGGTTATAGAACTTGTACTACAGCCACTAACTTTAGACAGCGTCACTCTCGATAACTAGGTCACAGAGCTTCTCGAAGGTGCGAGAGGGATATTGGTGCTGCGTGAGAGGATGGGAGGTGCAGTGTCAGACACTGACAATGAAAGAGTAAGAAGAGAGAGAGAGAGAGAGAGAGAGAGAGAGAGAGAGAGAGAGAGAGAGAGAGAGAGAGATTGGAAAGAGCGAAGATAGTGGAAAGAGCGAAGATATTGGAAAGTGTGAAGACATTGGAAAGTGTGAAGACGTTCGATCTCACTACCCAGAGAGACCAGGTGGGATTACTAGAAGTCCAAGTCCACGTGAAAAAATCCCAGCACTTACCAGGGATTGAACCCAGGACCTATAGCAATCGAGGCTGACACCATGCCTCGAGACCACTCAACCGTATTTTTATATCTTTTAATGTTTAGTCTATCAGCTGATTGGCATGCGGAAGACTGAAGGGTACACTATTCACTGTGGTATGTGTGGTGTGACAGAGTGAAAACTGTAGTGTGACAGTGCTGGAACTGTGACTTGGTGAGGCTGAAAAGTGGCACGCCAGGGTAGAGTGTGCCAGGAAAACATGACAACGGAAACACCGCCCTGATATCAGCTGATGTCTATATGTCACGTGGCCAAGTGCCTGGTTTCATGGTTCACTAGCTTTCAATGCCCTCTTGGTTAATCTCTCACTTAACGTGTTCAGTAAGTGAAGCCTCTCATTTCAATACAAGAGAATCTCTCTCTCTCTCTCTCTCTCTCTCTCTCTCTCTCTCTCTCTCTCTCTCTCTCTCTCTCTCTCTCTCTCTCTCGCTCTGTGTGTGTGTATGTGTGTGTGTATAGTGGAGAAGTGAACCAGATCACTATAAAAACTTCTCCCATGGGGGTTCTGGGGTACTATTATGGGGAAAACAAGAGTAGAACCCAAAAAAGGGCTTTTTCCTAGAAAGAAAGGTGCCAGTTACTACATAGTGTCTATTATAGTTGTGCTCACCACATAGTGTCTATTATAGTTGTGCTAACCACACAGTGTCTATTATAGCTGTGTTCACCCTATAGTTGTGCTCATCACATAGTATCTATTATAGTTGTGCTAACCACACACACAAAAAGCGCTGAAAAGGGTGCAGGTACTGTATACCGCCAGAAAGAAAAAAAAACAGATTGAAGCCAATGGTCTATGCCAGGGCTATTGAACTGACGGCTCACAGTCCACATCTGGCCCAGCAGAGGCCTAGCAAGTGGCCCACGGACCACCTGCCAACTATACTGTACTAAAGATCTTTCTATGCTGTGGAGCCAGGCCACTGGCTGGCAACGACCCCCGTTGTCCAAGATTATGGCCCCTGGGTTAATTAAGTTAAATGGCCTATGATTTAATCGTCCCAGGAGCATACAAGTTATCCAGATGTCTTAATGTTCACTTCATACGCCCCTTCCCGTGTCAGACCTATACTTTACACCCCCCACCCAATGCAAGCATCCTTACATATGCTGTTAGAAGACAGAACAACAACAGACACAGTACCTGCTCATCACTGAGGCCTTCTTCGTTCATCGTTTTCTCTAGGCGCCGATGTCTGCGGAAACACATATTCACCAACGAATTATGGACGTGCTTATGATAAAAGATAAGAACTGCCAGGACATGGCTTTCTTTTAGCCCCCCCCCTCCCCCCCCCCCCCCCCCCACCCCCAACACTATCTTAGCAACTCCGAGATTTCATAGGGAGTTTCCAGAAAAGTCCAATTGTATGCGGTGAGGGTTAGTGTTGGTGTTCATTGCACACCCTAACACCCCACTAATGGACTTTCCCGGGAATTCCCCTCGAAATCTTGGAGTCCTCCAGAGGGGGTGAATTTTAAAAAAAAACTGTCAAAGAGGTTGGCCGAGGGGAGGGGGGGGGGGGTGTTCACACAAAAGAGAAAGTTGCTGTAAACAAATGAAGGCGAGAGAGAGAGAGAGAGAGAGAGAGAGAGAGAGAGAGAGAGAGAGAGAGAGAGAGGGGAGAGAGAGAGAGGGAGAGAAAGAGAGAGAAGCTGGATATTTCGGCCATAGTGAAACATAACATTCTTACAAAACATCGCATAACCCAGTGTTTCCTAAACATTCCTTAGTCGCGGCGCCTTTTTTTTTTTTTTCAAATAAAATTGTTCCATGGCGCCCTAACCTAAGTAAAAGTATGACTATTCGTATGTAGATGTGTTTTTTTTTTAATCGTGTATTTTTGAATATTTCGCGACGCCCATGTGAAGAGGTCGCAGCTCCCCGGGGCGCCGCGGCGCACAGTTTTGGAATCACTGGCATAACCCTTTATTAGTGATTCCCCCCCCCCCCCCCCCCCCCCCCCCCAAAAATTGTCTCTCTCTCAACCCCCCCCCCCCCCCCCCCCCCCCCCGTCATATTATTCTTTGTATACAAACCAAATGAATCCCCCCCCCCCCTCTCCCTTATATATCGTCTAAATATGTGTTGTTGTTTTTTTTTTTCCTAGTAAGAGAAGGGACGGGGAAAAAGGCCGGGCAAAAATCGACAACAACAAAGTCATAAATGACGGTGCGGCCCGATAGGGTGTTAACACATATATCGACGTCAAGTCTGCAGGTGATATTAGTCAGATCCTACCGGTGGTTCAAACCACCTGCTGCCCTCATCTGATCTTTTATACACACCACAGGTGTTGTTATGTGGTAGAGGCACGGATAAAGTGCACAAACTAGACAGGAAAGACAGGAATACTCCCACGGATAAAGTGCACAAACTAGAACTGAACGAAGGGAAAGACAGGAATACTCCGACAGAAGGCAAATATGCCACAGAATGTGTATCTGTGTTATGATGTAGCACAATCGGCGTTTTGCACACAGGGCCTCACCACGCGTGCTTAGTCCTCTGATGCAACAGCCACTCCAGGGTACCGCTACTGGTGGCTCCCGTGAGAAGTTGGTTATAGTTTATCCTGTCTTTACTCCCACACAGACATGCTTCACCACGCTTAATTTCTCAGACATGCAGTTGTGTTAACGTCAGAAAATCGCCATTATCCCCCAGCCTAGTCCGTACAGTATCTATATATCTGTCTGTCTGTCTGTCTATCTACATTTCTATCAGCATGCCTGTCTGCCGGCCTGCCTGCCTGTCTGTTGGTTTTTGTTCGTTAGCAAAGGCACCGCTTTTATTCCATGAGATGGACCAATGTCATCCCCACGACCCAACCCGGGTCACGCCTTTAGACACTCATTGTACGCTGTTTGTGGGAGTGTACGCTGTTTGTCTACTCCGTCCATTTCCTAGTTTCAGTGAACCCGTTTTTTGCTCCCCGTCCGTGTTTTTCTGATAAATATGCCAGTACCTGTCCTTGACATACTTTTGAAGGAAGTTTTTCGTCAGGAACACAGATGAGTATCATTGAGTACATTAGTCCCATGTAGTCACTTCATAGTTAGAGCATATTTGTGTATGTGGACTGTATTGTACTTTATGTGCTGATGAAGGCTAGTCGCCGCAACGTCCTTTGTTCGTTTATTGTGATCGATTTTGTAAAGCTAACATAAACTGTTTGTTGTTTCTTACCAACTTATTTTCTTCCCCATAATTGTCTACTCCTTTTAAAAAACAGTGTCTCTGTGTGTACGTGCGTGTTTCTCCGCACTGTTTCTATCTCTCCATGTATATTTCTGTCTCCTTTCCGCTTAATTAGGGCTGCGTGGTCTCGAGGCATGGTGTCCGCCTTGAGTGCTAGAGGTTCCAGGTTCAATCCCCTGTGAGGGCTGGGATTGTTTCACGTGGACTTCTAGTAATTCCCCCGGTCTCTGTGTAGTGAGATCGGATGCCCGTGTGCAATTTTGTGCACGTAAAAAATCCTCTGGCAGTTGGAAATCGTTTTCCGGAGAAAAAGTATTTCAGGATCCTCGCCAGTGCTAAAGAACATGTGCACTGTGCTGAGCTTCTTCGGACAGGCTTGAGTTAGAAGAAGAGCGGAGCACTTATCGGTTACTACCCGTGTGCCATTATATGGATCCGTTGTTCAAACACCCGCCTGGCTAATTCTATGTTTAATTTATCTAAGTTTTGTTATGTCAATCGACGTCACTGCGTGCTCAGTTTTCCAATGTAGCAAACACGCTGGTGTTTCCACTTACTGTTCCTATCAGACGTTGGTTATAATGTCTACGATCTTGTTTAAAAAATATTTTAATTTCGTCCTTTTTAGGACGAAATTTTTTGTCATTTGAAGCCCCACTCTGGCTTCTGCCAGGGGCCGCAATATAGGCAGGCCATCCATATGGTCAAATGTCTGAACGCGGTTTCTGGGACCTCTCCACGGCGATCCTCATCCACATTGTGGCACTTTGTGTCATCGGGTGTTTATGGCTTGTGTGATGTCCTGGTGGGGTAGAAAGTCAGTCACAGTCAGTCTACGATCTCGGCCTCGACAGTGGCACAAATGCGCTGCGCCATGCTTTACTCCCATGTCACGCAATCGTGTTAGCATCAGAGATTCGTCATCCACTTGCCCAGTCCGTACAGCGATATCTGCCCTGTCCATGCATCTTCCTAAATGTGTGGTGCACTGCTTGTCAGTTGGTCCGCTCGATCATTACCCTTTACGCCAGCATAGACAAGCGTGTAGATCAAGGTGAGGACGGTTAAGTGCGATTTTCGAATGCTTTCTACCTATTCAGAGGGAATACTGCCTGTTGCTATCTCCATGATCACGTTTGACCTAGTCGCCTGGTAAGCGCCACTTTCCTTCTAATTCCATTCCTTCTGACTACTGAAATCCTACCCCCCCCCCCCCCCTACTTTCTGTGTTTGTGTGTGTGTACATCAATCCATATTTTTTGTTATTTTACATAGACTCCCTGACAAGGAAGAATAGAGTGGTAGGTAAGCAAGCTCTCCCATTCAACTGATGAAGTCTGAAAGGCAGACAAGCAAAAAAACAGATAAGACACACACACACGCGTTCATTTCATACCTAACCGTTTTAGTGATATACCTATACAACATATCCCATTTCCACACATCGCTGCCACCGCACGGTTCTAAAGACAACTGTGGTGCTGCTGCTTTGCCGGCGATGGGGAGAAGGTCATCATGTTCAACCAGCATTCCCGAAAGGGGAGTTTTAGGTTATAATTATGACTAGGTTATTGCGCCACAAAACATAGCTTAGCATTGCAAGCCACCAAGAGCCCTGAAATGGACTCCTGCAGTGTCGATGCGATCAGAGGAGACAGACCCAAATACTGCCCCGACCGGAGACAGGTCGTTTACTGGCGAGTAAATGGGCGATCGGATGAATCAGAGAACACATTGCCCACACACATAGTAAACACCTGCCTAGGACTTACCTACACTCGCGCTCATCGTTCTGAGACACCAGGTTGCTGTAGTAGTTCTCCAGGGTGACTTTTGCCTTGGTCACCTTGTCGATAGTGTGTGTGCTGATCTGTATCTGTTCTCCCACTGTGGCCATCTTGTTGGAGCGGCGATTCTGCAAACAAACAAATCAGACACGTGGTATCAAATGATTACAATCAAAGGTTAAAGTCGAGAGGATACAATTCCGTGCACTGGGTTTTATCCCATATGACTCGGTCTTTCTGTAGCCGCCCACCGAGAGCGTCGCATAGAGCCCGAACTCTGTAGCTCCGGCGACGATACCCAAGAATTTCCGTAAAAACTGCACTGAACGACGCAGTTGTTAAACGAGCCCACGTCCTTCAGAGCGCGAGGTAAACGGCTTAACTACTTTGCCATGGAGACCCCCATCAACTGATTACAGAGGGCTATCATTGTTATTGCACAATAGATTTCTTTCCGTGTTCAGATTTCTTTCTTAGAATATCTGTGAGTGTGTTGCAAATGATCTCCTGGACAGGGCGTTGGCTAACAAGACGCAGAAGGGGGAAAAGAAGAAGACAAAGAAGAAGAAGAAAGAAAGAAGGAGGGGGATAAGGAAAAATAGGAAAATGAGGAAGACAGTGACGACTCAACAACAAAATGGCTGGCTATAATGGATCTATAACATTCAGTTTCCTACTGGTTGGTACACTCTACTTCTATTCGCCACCTCCTGGTGTCATTCTCCGAACTGTTCAGTGTCTATCTCCAGCTTGTATGCTTTCAGTCTTCGAGTTTATACAGATTACCTTCTTAAACGTCAAGGAAGATTATAATTGAGGTCGTTAGTTATGTGAAGATTTTCGATATAAAAGAGATAACTCTATACCTGATACAACTTATTTTCGTTTCTTCTTCTACACAGTAGGAAACTCCTTGTTTTTCATTTACTTTTTTGATACACGCGCGCACACACACACACATATATATATATATATTTATATATATATATATATATATATATATATATATATATATATATATATATATATATATATATATATATATATATATATATATATCATATATATATATATATATATATATATATAGATTACGATTGGTTTCGATATTTTTTAAGGTTATATTTGATGAATTTACTTATGTGTATTTCACATTTTTTTATCTTTAATGTTTGCTTAGTTGTCATGTTAAACTTTCAGATGTATTTTTTTTTTCTAAAACAAAGACTAGTTCTATTTTATTATTACATTGGTATTTTTTAATCCCTCGTTATCCGGTTGTGCCATTATGCGTCATAAAAAGCTTGCACTCTATTGCTCTATTAAAGTCTATCCTGTGCGATCAGTTCAATATCATGGATGCAATCTAGTCAAGCAGCTTTACCCTCTCTCATCAACATTCGTCTTAGGGTTTCCGTTAGACCTCCTCGCTTCCTTAATACCTGTATTTTCAAATTTAATGTATTTTTTAACACGTCTTATTTCGAACTTGAATTTTATTCTTTCAGTTTTTCTTTTCAGCATGGTCCAAAAGAAAAATAAAGACAAGCCAGACAAACAAGCTGGAGATAAAACAGGAGAAACAGAGACATAATGCTGAGGGGGAAAGAGTTAACAAACCAGTCCTGTAGCAGGTAACACAGGACAACACTCTACAGGTGGACTGAAAACTGTTTCGGCGAGAGTAAACATGGAACAGGTGAGAGATTTCCCAGAGCCAGGAAACGGCAAACAATTTGTCCACGAGACCTCCGCAGCTCTGTGTGTGTGTGTGTGTGTGTGAGAGAGAGAGAGAGAGAGAGAGAGAGAGAGTAGGATGCGGAGGGGTGGGGGCTGAAGAAGGGGGCTGCACGAATTCTCACATGTTCTCTGTTTAACACACATACACATAAACTCACACAGTTCAGTCGCTTTTCATACCTATGCAACAAACTGATATCTGATCGAAAGCGTGACATGGAAATTAAAAAAGAAAAGAAACAGCACTGGACCACTTGGAGAGAGACCTGTTGCATGAAATATTTGTTATCTTTTGAAATGCCACCGTCGGCTGGCTCCCCATGGTTTCAGTTGTACATCTTCCAGCAGACGGTATATGTATCTGAACTTGTTGACCTGCCTGAGCACTTTACCTTTTATTGTACTGGGAGAACAGTTACAGATCAGTAGACACACTATCGACAAAGCACGGCCAGCTGGAGCTGGCCGTGCGACAAAGTAAACCAGGGCAAAAGGCCACCCTGAAGAACTACTACAGCAGCCTGGTGTCTCAGAACGAGTGTAGGTAAGTCCTAGGCACTCTCTGCCAGGTGCTTTATCTGTGTGGGCAATCAATCGTTGTCTGTTGAACTAACGCCTTCTCTAAAGTAGGTGATGATTGAACCGTTGTCTGTTGAACCCGGGTGGTGGTAGCGATGTGGGAAATGTGATGTGTTGGTTTTTCACTAGGACGTTTGGGGTGTTCGTTTCATCTTGTAAAAGCAATTAATGTAAAACTGCCAGATGAAACCACAGACCGCTAACAAATGCTGACTCCTGTTGGCGGCGTCCTATAAACTCTGTTGTCCACAGAAATTTGCTGCCGGTCTGCCCAGTCATGTAGCCACTACAGTGGAACCAAACGGAAAAATCAAATGAATGTTACTGCAAGGCTTCGTCTGTTAGAAACAACGCTCGAGCTAGATAAATCGGATTTTCTTACTTCTAATCTGTCTAAGCTGAAATTAATAATGTCTATCTTCATTTTAGTGCTTACCGGGTGTGAACTCCCGAGGAAAGTTTTGGTTCTTCATCTACTTTTGGACTTTAGAGTCAGGACCTGGCTGTTGCATGCATATCCGTTTTACAGATCTGGCTTGTTTGTATCAGACTGCTGGTGCCTCGCCTTTCAGTCAGATGCAATCCAACTTCGAAGGAAATGCCCCCAATTAGTCGCCTTTAGTCGGCAGTGAGTCTACTCTGGTTTCTCTAAAATGCTGCCCCAGAACACACATGGGAGAAGCCGGTAATTGTGTAACCTTGTATTTAAGGGGTCACTACACCAAAAATTTTTATTTTTTTATTTACAGACTTATAGCAGTTATTTTATAATGGTCGTTTGTAGGGATACATGTTATTACATTTGTATACTTAAAGTGTTAAAAAAATCATAGTTGTCATTGCAATAACCGCCATCTTGTGGGAAAAAAAATGTACTTAAAATCCTAAAATTTCAAAAACAAACCTAGATATTCAACAATAGATGATGGATCCATGACCTTTTATCTTATTTAGAGGTACAGGTCCGGATTATCTACTTTAAACATGTTTTTAAATATTTTTCGTAGAATTTTAAAATGTAGGTTTATTGAAAAAGTCAAAAAAATCGAGCATCATAAGACAATAATCATATTTTAGAAAACAAAATCTTTCTAAAATCTACTCGATAGACCAGTCTCTATAATATTGTTTATGAAGTATGCATACAAAATTTCATGTTTCTACTCTGTATATTAGCTTAATTTTAGGCACACACAGCAAACTGAAATATAGAGATTTGAGAGAAAAGTGACTTTTAAACTTTTTTTTATCTTAAAAAAGTGCACGAGGTGGTGGTCCCGTTAGTATTAAACAATGCTTAATTTGTTTACAAATGACATAAATTTTTGTGTGTCATCTATTTCTACGAATGCCGAACTTTACAAAAAACGAACACATTGAAAAAGTGATATTTTTGTCATAAATTTGGAAAAATGCAGTGGTAGTGACCCCTAATTACAAAATGCTGTACAGGTCTGTTTCTGCTTCTGAATTCTTAATCAACCAGTTCGCGAAATATTTCTCCTAGTTTCCCGGACGGCGGGTTTTAAGGTTTTGGACAACAGATCAACATCATGGCCCACGAGAGTAACCCATAAGTACTCCGTTCTTCTTCTAACTCAAGTATTTCTCCTAGTTTCCCGGACGGCGGGTTTTAAGGTTTTGGACAACAGATCAACATCATGGCCCACGGGAGTAACCCATAAGTACTCCGTTCTTCTTCTAACTCAAGTCTGAGTCCGAAAAAGCTCAGCACAGTGCACATGCTCTGTAGGACCGGCGAGGATAATGATAAATGTAGTCTTTAGGCTACTCTTTTATATTTCCAGCTGCCAAGGGATTTTTTACGTGCGCAACAATGCACACGGGCGTCCAATCTCACTACCCAGAGACCAGCGAAATTACTAGAAGTCAAAGTCCATTAGAAAAAATCCTAGCCATTACCAGGGATTGAACCCGGAACCTCTAGCACTCGATGTGGACACCATGCCTCGAGACCACGGTGGATCTTAAAAGATTGAAGAATAATGCTGTAAGGAAACACAAATAACTAAAAAAAACTAACTCAGCTGACAGAAGAAATCTCACTACTTAGACCCATCAACATCTAAAACTGCTTTTTGATTTGCATAAACGAAGTCAATAAATTCACACCTTTGCAGCAATGGTAACATCAAATGAAAAGTGTGTGACAGAGACGGAGCAGGACAGATCCAAGCGAAAGCTACATTTGAGAAAATGACAGGTGCATGCCGTAATAAGCAACTGGCTGAATGTCAGACAGAGCGTACTAGCATAAAACGTCAGATGTGTCCCGATGTTTTGTCGTTATTTTTTTTATGTGAACTTCCTCTTCTCAGTTCGCTCTTAATGTGCAGTTAACATTTTTTTGTTGTGTATATATAGCCTGCGATATCTGCGTCGTTCAGCCAAAAAGCATCTGATTCATATGAGTCTTCTTGTCTTGTACGACGAGTAAGTCGACTTTAGATAGCCGTCCGGAGAGGGGGAACTGATAGAGTAGCCGCTTAACCGCTACACCATGGAGACCTGTGTATCAATGACCTCAAACCAAATGTTTCGTTTACTCACACATTTTTCAAGGTGTGTGCGGACGCTTAGCATACCTTCATCTAAACAATTTTACTATTCTTACGTTTATTTTAGTTTTATCTTCATCTTATTGTATCTTATACTTTTATTTTATACTATTCGTTTTACGGATTGTCACTATTGACTGTATTACTATTATTGCTCCTTCTTTCATTTTATTTCATCCATTCCGGATGACTTTTTCTCTTCCTATTTTTTA